GCCCGCCTCCCCTCCGCCTCCGCGACCCGGGCGGAGGCCGAGGCCTCGGCCTCGGCGACGGCGGCGGCGGCGCTGGCCGAGGCCTGCGCGTGGAGCTGCCTCGCCCTGCTCACCTTCCGGCCCCGCGCAGGAGCCCCCGGGCCCGGGCGCTGCGAGGCTTTTCCGCGCCCGAGCGAGGATCGAACAACGGGTCTTGCGCGAGACGGCAGGGCGACCTTGCGCGGTGGCTGACGCGGGCCGCCAGCGCGGCACGCTGCAGTGTTGGGAGGCAACTGCTGGGAGGTTTTCGTCGGAAAGACTAAGGAGGGTTAAGCCCCATTTGGGAGCTGTTACGCCGGAGCGGGCCTCGGATTAAGCCAGATTCCGCCGGATCAAGCGGGATCAAGCGGGCTTAAGCTGGACTTCGCACCAGTGCAAAATCAGAAATGGACCTCCCAGGAGCTGCACCCCAAGCGTTGGAGACGTTGGCGCTCACGCGCGACCCTACGCGGGCAGCTCACGCGCCAGTGCCGGCGCAGACGGCCCCGTTGTGTTGCGTCGCTCACCTGGCGATCTCCCCTGGTCTCTGAGCTCGGACCCTCGCGGATCGACCCGGCTCGAAGAACATGGTGCACAAGGCCGGGGTTCGGTGGACCAAACACGGGGTCCAGCTGGTGCAATAGGCTCGGGGCACTTGTGTTGCAGATGTACTGCGCCAGAAAGTTGTATGGCATTGCGTTGCAACTAGTGTATTGCACGCGAAGGTCCAGCAATACATTTGCGAAGCGGCATGTACTGCACGTCCCAAACACTATGGCAACCCCGCAAATCTATTTTGCACCAATCTCTATTGCACCCCCCCTTTTCGCTGGCACCCCTTTGGGTCAACCAAATGGGGCCGTAGGGATCTGAGCGAAACTTTCCGGAACTCGGGGAAGCGGCCCAAGAGGCCAGAGGGGGAGCCAAGCCCGAGCGCGCAAGCCGCTGCCGTCGCATCGCACTCGGCGATCGAGGGACCCCAGTGGGGCCCGTACCAACATTCACTCCGGCGAAAGGTCACTCTTCCCAGACCCCCGACGTCATGAAAATGTTCACAACGTCGACCCCCAGAGGTACAGTCAACCCGTATAAGAAGGGCGCACGAACGATAAGGATGCAAAGGCCTTGGAAGGCCATTTCGGAGCTTTCCGAGGGGAGCGCGGCCAACGAAAGCGGCCAAGGATGGACCGATGAGAGAAGGATGCAAGGGTACCCTTGGTAAGGTTGCCCATCCTTGCCATGCGGGTTGACTGTATCGACCCACTCCGCGGGGCCAACTTCTCATCATGAATCGTCTCGTGACGGTCCCAGAGACTGGCGAGGGCCCCCGGAGACCGAAAAGGGCCAAAAGCCGTACCGTCATATATGGGCAGCGGTTTCGGCACCTTTTCCTCCTCTGACTTCCATGCAGCCTGCCGTGGCATGTTCGTTCACGTCGACCCCCAGAGTTCTCGGCCCATTCCCCAGGACCACTCTTTCGTCCTGAGTCGTTCGTTGACGGTCCTGGGGCCCTCAGAGGCCGAAAGCAGCAAAAAGCAAACAACTCCCGTCGTGCCTGTTCGCGGCACGAAGGGGCCCCGCACCATCCAGGCTCAAAACATATACATTATTCGGGGAGACGTAAGACCCGGGTACGGGTGACTCGGAAATCCACGACGAGGTCGTCATAAAAATGACGAGGCCGAGCCTGCATTTTGACGAGGCCTCCCGCTGCAGACATCCCACGAAACTCCTCCTCGTCAAAGTCCGAGTCGCGGTCGTCAAAAAACGATGGCGAACCCGAGTCCCGGCAAACCCGGGTCTTACGCTCCCCCGAATTATGAGCGGAGGCCAGCCGTCTGGGAAGACTGTAGGCCTACCACGTTCTGAACGGTCTTATAACGAAAACAATGGTGGTCTTAGCGTATAGAGCCACTGTACGGTCCAGCTCGCCAGAGGCACGTCTCCAGACATCGCGAAGCATTGTGGGCAACAAACACTGAGCACGCCAGCTCGTGATCACATTGCCGAGAAGAATACGGGGACGCACTGACCTGGATCAACGCAAAACCGGGGCAACCATACTTTGCAAGATCCTGCAGAGTCCTGCGCGCTAATCCGCGTCGAAGCACCCCTGGCTCTGCAGGATCCTGAAAGATCCGGCGCTCTGGAGCTGGCCAACATTTGCACTGATGCCCGTCTCAAGGCTCCTGATGAATAAGGGCTGTCCCCCCCCCCAAAGAGAGGACGAGTGGGAAGGCGGGGCCATCCCTGTGTGGTTCCCATGCTAATATTGCAGCAACCTGCCTTGGAGGCAACCGGGGGGACTGAGCTACTTGAGCCGCAAAAAAAACGGACATGAGGAGGGGTGACAGCAAATCCGCTCAAAATCGTTCCCAAGGCCCCTCCAGGGGTTCATCTTGATTAACCAAAAAGAAAAGACACTTAACCCTTTGGGAGGGGACTTCAGTTAGGAGGACCAACAAAAATTAGGGATAGGGGGTCTTCTCTGAAGATGTACCAGACCAAACCGCCCAGAAGTATTTTCCCTGATGCAAGGACGGGGACCTCAGTGACGCCACGTCTTCACACTGTTATTAGGGTTAGAGGCTCTTGCATCCTCGATGGCATCTGTTGAGTTTTTCACACCACATCTGACTTTGAAGGACCCAGGGCCCGAAAACGGGCCTGGAAGCGGTAAAAGATAGAAAATCTTTTCGAACCCAGCGCCTCGAACCTCGCTTCCCCTCCTCCTCCTCCTCCTCCTCCTCCTCCTCCTCCTCCTTCTCCTGCTGGCCGGAACCACTGCTGGGCCACCTCAGGCTCCCAGCTGGCCCTGGGGGGGGCCGGGGGCGAGAAGCGATGCAGTTCCGCCGAAGAGAAGGGACAAGACAAGATACGGGCAGAACTGATTGCACAGTGCCCGCGACAGGACAGAAGACTCCTCTTCCGACGGCAGCATGGCCTCCGACAAGGGCACCCTGCCCCAGATCTGCAGAGGAAACGGCGCGCGATGCACAGGACACAAAGAGTACCCGTGCGGCAGAATCGACATGCCTGTCCGAGCCGACCATAGCACTTCCCAGGGGCGAGGAACGGCACAGGTTCTCCGAGGAGGAGGAGGAGGAGGAGGAGGAGGAGGAGGAGGAGGAGGAGGAGGAGGAGGAGGAGGAGGAGGAGGAGGAGGAGGAGGAGGGGGGGCGGCAGGGGGGCGACAGTCGCGTCTCCAGGTTGCGCACAGCCTGCCCTTCTCGTCCAAGCCCAGGCGCGCGGAGTCGCGCGCATGGGACTGGACGAGCACTGCGAGGCACCCGGCGAGCACCCCCTCCCCAAAACGGGCTGGCCTGGGCACCGACCGCTGCGCATCAGAGGCTGCACACAAGCACAGTCTTAGCCCGACCTTCTCGTCCAGGTCCAGGCGCGCGGCGTCGCGCGCCTCGCGAGCGCGGCGCACGAGGTCCGCCGCCTGCAGCGACGCCTGCCTCTGGCGCTCCTCCGCGGCGCGCAGCTCCCGCGCGCGGCGCTCGGACTCTCGGCACAGGCGCTCCTCTCTCGGCGGGCGCCAGCCGACCACCATCATCATCGGCAGCAGCAACATCGGCAGCATCAGCATCATCAGCACCAGCATCATTATCAGCATGCTTATCATCATGATGAACACCATCAGCAGCAGCATCAGCATCATCATGAACAACAGCATCAGCATCATACTAATCATCATCCTCAGCATCATCGGCATCGTCATCATCGGCATCAGCATCCCCAGGGGGTCGCGGGGCTTAATGTCTAGGCCCAGGGCTTCAACATGAAAAGGCTGGATGTGGCGGTGGCGCCGATGTTCCATAACCTTGAAATTGTGCTCGCTGTGTGAACGCCAGGGGGCGTAACAAATAACAAATACGCCCCAACCTTTGCACACGAACATCACGGTGGCCCACATACTGAAGCGGCTATCGAGCGTAAGGGTCCCTGGCCGAGCCAGGGGAACGTGTACACCAATACGGAGCCCAGGCTCGGCACAGCCAGGTGTGACCACGGCGATACTACCAGACCCCTGACGTCATGACTCCCGCCCCCCCCCCCCGCGCCCGCGCCAGCGGCCGCCAGCAGCCCCGACGGCAGGGCCGCCGCCGCCGCCCGCCGCCGCAGGCGCCGGCGCCGGCCCAGAAAAGGAAAGCGTCGTCCCCGCCGCCGCCGCCGCCAGCCGAGGAGAGGGAGAGAGGAGAGGTAGGGGAGGGGGGTCGGATTCCCCCCCCCCCCCCCTCCCCCCCCTGCATCTAGGGGGGGGGGTCGGATTCCCCCCCCCCCCCCTCCAAGCGACCACAGAACGCGCTCTGTCTGATCTCTGCACGTCAGGTCCAGGAGACCTCGACCCCTTCTCTGGGGCGGCCCGCGGCGGCCCCGCGGCCCGGCCGGGGGTCCCGGGAGGCAGAGGCTACGTGCGTAGCACCCCGCGGCAGGTGATAGGAGTGAGAGGGCGGCGGGGGCGCCGGCAGCCTGCGAGGTTCTGAAGAAGCCCGCTGCGGGCGCACCATTTTTTCCCTATAAAGTGTGCAACGAACCCTCTGCAGGCGCCGATTTTTCGTGAAAGCAAAGTGGGTGGGTCGCGGAGTGGGTCGCGGGCAGGGTCGCGAGGGGGGACGTCGACGACAACAACAACAACAACAACAACAACAACAACAACAACAACAACAACAACAACAACAACAACAACAACAACAACAACAACAACAACAACAATTACTAGCACGTGGGGACACACCGTTCTCACCAGTGCCAGGGTTTTCATAGGAGGCGGGCAATACCCCCACTTTGTGGGGGGGCCGGTTCAAGCTCTACCAAATTTCCAAACGACTCTTCGCCACCACCCACACCCAGCTTCCCGCCCTATGACGTTCGGACACTTCACTTCGTGGCATGCGGACGACCGTGGCTACTATTCAGGGCCCCGCGGCCGACGACGACGGCGTGCGCGCGCGAAGAAAAAACGAATGTGTCCCGCATGGTATTATTTGACAGGGATGATGGCCCTGGCAGGTGCGCAACCGTTGTTGCAGAAGTTCGAAAAAGTTGCTCGCAAAAGCCCGTTTGACAGAAATGATTAAAAAGTGTTGGGTTTCCTACGAATCCGCAAGAGCGCGCGGGATGAAATTTTGACAATTTTTTTTGAAAAACCATTGGTTTTTTGATGTTTTTATGTTAAAATCGCTACGAAAACTAAGGTTTTGGAAGGATTTCGTCTTGCGCGCGCGAATGTCCACTTTACCTTATTTTTTGCAAGGGATTCTTGAAGTTTGGTTATGTTAGAACAAGAAATGTCCACTTTAGCTTATTTTTTGCAAGGGAAAACCGATCGTAACAACACAACCGGATCCGGACCAACCCGTTTTGCCTGAGACTTCCTCACGAAAATGATGAAAATGAGGCTGCGGCCTAGGCGCGGCGGGGGGGTCGTGCACCAGGGGTCCCAACAATAATTATTCTTTAGAAGTAATAATGTTCAACAACACGAAAAAACAACAGCACCACCACTAACAGCAACAATCCGCACCGCAGAACCTCACTTCAGCCACGCGCCCAAGGACAATGAATGACCGTTCGGCCATCCCACTCTGATTAAAACCGTTCCGTTTCACATTTTTCGCGGTGCGAGAGGGCCTGGTTGATACCGATACTATTACTTCCCATATCCCTCCAGGGGTGCGTCATGGCCCGAACTTCGGGGCGAATCCAGCCGTGGCGACACGGACCCAGTGAGGCCCAACAGAGCAAAACAGAGGCAAGTGCAGCGGTATCGGTACATATTCCTCCCCCGACGTCATGTGTTTGTTCAAATCGTCGACCCCCAGAGGTCTCGCCCCATTCCCCAGGATCGCCGTTTCGTCTTCAGCTGTTTTCTGACGGTTCGATACACATACCCTTGCCTCGTTTCAGGCCACGCAGGGCGAAAATGAGGCAAGGGTAGCGATATCGGTACCGATTCCTTCTCTGTCTTCGGCTGGGTGCGCTATGAGAGGTCTCCCACATTGGGTCCGATTAGATGGGGTCAGAGGATCGTGCCACATCGCTAATGCATCGGCGACGTCGGCGATACATCCGCGGTGCGGCAAGATCCTCCGACCCCATTTACTCGAACCCCTACCTGCCTCGAGATCCGACGACGCGGAAACAATGAAGCATCGTAGATCATCACGACCGAAGACGCAACATCTTGCCGCACCATTGTTTCAAGCCGAATCCATCTCTGAAAATGCCGGAGCCCGAAACCTGGCGAAATCGCCCGGCTGGAAAGACTTTTGGATGCCAGGATCTCAGGGCCTACGCATCTGCGCCAGACACCCCTCCCTGGCGCGAGAGGAGCGCGTCAGGGGCGGCGACGCCAGGAGGGGCCAAGCGCAGCTTCCAAAAATCCGCGCGGACCGTCGAACATGTTTACGTTGCTTGCCCTCTTGGAATCTACCCCGACCCCTCATGGGTGCCCTAAGATGATCAGCAACGAAAGTACCCGTAACCGACCTTTTCGGGAGGGGACCCAGATAAGGAGGGCCAAAGAAGTTACGGATAAGCGTGTTCGTTCTGCAGACGCATCAGGCCACACCACCCATATTTATGTTAGCCCTGATGCGAAGATGGGGGCCTGAGTGAGGCCATGACTTCATTGTGCCATTAGGCGTGGGGGTGCTTTTAGAGGGGCAAGAAAAACACAAACATTAATGTTTAACGGTCCGCGCGGAAGCCAAGCCAAAACAGATCCGACAAAAAACAACAATGGTAGAAACGTCGTCCCCATTCGATTATTTGACTCTTGCATCGTATCACTCGATGAGCCTGTCTTCCACCACCATCACCATACGTTGGAGGGGGGGAGGAGGTGGAGGACGAGGAGGAGGAGGACGAAGAGGAGGAGGAGGAGGACGAAGAGGAGGAGGACGACGAAGAGGAGGAGGAGGACCCCCTCCCCCTGCAACTTGTGGTGGTGGTGGTGGTGGAATCTACTCCCCCATCATTCCTCCTGCACAGAGACCTGCCCGTCTCCATGACAGGAGGGACTGCGCCCCCCCCGATCCTCTGCGCGGCGCACCACCTCGTCCGCGTCGGCCCGGGCGGCCGCGACCAGCGCCTCGGCCTCCGCCCGGGCCGCGGCCACCCTTGCGGCGTGGCCGCCCGCGGCGCGCTCGTGGTGCGCCCGCCCCCGCGACAAGAGCCCAGCGGAGATGCCCCGCTCGGCCTCGAGCAGCGCCGGTCGGAGGGGGGCCGGCGGGGGCCGGCTCTGGCGGGCCCACCCAGAGGGGGGTCCAGCTGAAAGGGGGTGGTGCAAAAAGCAGGTGAGGGGGGCAACCATGTTGCCAGAATGCACTGCGTTAGCAGGAGATTGGATTGCACTGTATTGCAACGAATGCATAGCACGCAAAAGCCCACCTGCACTCTGAGGAACTTCTGTACACTACTCACATACTGTGCATCATGAAATTTCTGCCTTGCCCGTTCAAACACGTCTGCGCGCCGGAACGTATTGCACGTCCAAAATCGATGGCAACCCCACAAATCTATCGCACCAAATCTATTGTACACCCTTGTCGCTTGACCCCGTTTGGGGTCAACTAGAAGACAGCGGCAGGCCTCAGCGCTAGCGAGTCGCAGATCGGATCGGAGCGGAAGCGGGCTGGATCGCCAGCGGCTCGTCCCGGATCGGATCGGAGTCGCATCGCCCTTCCAGGCTCTGGCTGGCTCTCTGGCCGATGCCGATAGGTCGAGCCGAATCAACTCGAATCGAAACCACGGCCCCAGCCCGAGACTCGAATCGGAATCCTGCAACCGCGGCTATCCCAGGCGCTGAGAGGTCCTTTTGGGGGGCTGCCTGGGGGTTTCTCGTCGCCACGGCTGGATCCGCCCCCTGAGGTCCAGGCGTTCCAAACTTTTCGAGCCCAGCGCTGTCGCCAGGCTTCGGACCCGAAACCATGCTTTCGCCAAGTTTCGGGCCCGGGACCATCTCAGATCGATCGGGCCCGAAGAATGGTGCAAAAAAGATGGGGTCTAAGGCTCCGGTAGTGTTTTCGATCGCAGCGTCTACTGTTTCGCAACGTTGAGTCTCAGGGCCTACAGTAGCGGATCAGGATGGACCCCAGGAGGGGTCTGGGGCCGATTTCGGGCGGATTTGGGCAATTCTGCTGCAACTCATGGGAGCCTCCCATGCCATCTTGCTGGCTCTTGCGACTCGACGCTACCCGACGCTAAACAGAGGGAATCGACGCTAATCGACGCTGAATCGACGCTAAGTCGACGCTACATCCGCGATTCCTCATCGATTGGCAGACGCCAGCGCGTGCGAATGCACTCTAAAGACGGCGCCGCATCGCCAATGCATCGCCGATGCATCGGCGATGTATCGGTGCACCCGCGACGCCAGCGATGCATCGGCGACGTCGGAATGGAGAAATTCGGGCTTCACATCGAGCCGCATCGCCGATGCATCGGCGATGCATCGACGATGCGACGAGATCCTTCGACCCCACCTCCTCCGACCCCACCTGGGAGGCTTCCACGCCCTGCTGTACCGAATCTGGGCCGGGCGCAGGAGCTGCTGCTGCCTCCACTGGCCCTCCTCCGCGCTGAGAGGTGCTCCTCCACCTCCTCCACGGGCGGCATCGCTGGGGGCCTCCCAGATGGGGCCCGACTAGGTGGGGTCGAAGGATCGCGCCGCATCGCCAATGCATCGCCGCTGCTTCGGCAACGCATCAGCGACGTCGGCGATGCAGCGGCGACGTCGGCGTGGGGAAACACGGTCTCCACACCGAGCCTGCACCGTCGATGCATCGACGATGCGGCGCGATCCTCCGACCCCATCGACTCGGGCTACGTCTAGGAAGCCGAGAATCGCCCGCCCAGGGGCGCGCGGGCGGAGGCGGTGCCCCCTGCTGGCGGCGTGCGGCACGCGCGGAGCCAACGGTGGCTGCACCGCTGCACCTGGCAGGTGGCACGTGCGTGCCCAGGCACGCACGTGTCCGGCATCTCGCCGCGCAGCAGCGCGGCGCAGTCGGGCAAAGGCCGAAGGAGGCGCGCGGACCCGGCCAGCTCACGCAGCAGGGGCATGCGCGCCCAGGCACACACACACACACACACAAAAAAAAAAACACGCCAAGTGTTCACCATGAGGTGCAGTAGCAGTAACGAGGGCGCAGCCAAGCGAAGGTGGGGTTGCCACACCTGTCGGCGGGTTGTTGTCCATACATTGCGCTTGCAAATGGGACGAAGCGGGGGATGAACAACGGGGTCGCCCCCAGCTAGTGATTAGAAGAAACACCCCTCGCAACGAGGAAAACCAAAAAGAGTAGACCAAACTATGATAACTGCGTTTGCAACCATTGGAAGTGATGTATGTGTGTGCCCGCGGAACTGTTGTTGCAGGTGCATATGGTGCGAGTCGCCTGGTGCAGCCCAAGACGCAAAAAAGCCCTGGTGATACCCATGGGTAGCCCTGTCGTCAATGGTGGAACCATGCGTGGTGAGTCAACTGGTGACTCCCATCTAGACGAAATGTTGAATGTGCCTCGAGAAGCGGGGGCTGCAGTCGAGTGCAGATGTGGCTGCCACACCCTGCGATGAGTTCGGAGCGGGTGGGGTGTCAACACCTTGCGATTGAAGTTGAGCAGATGCAGGGGGTCGCCAATGGGGTTGGCGCAGCAGGCAAGCTGTTGCGAAGCACGCCTATGAACATGCTCAACAATTACTCCGACGGAAGGACCCGCATGATAATCGCCGTGATGTGAATCAGGCTGACCTTCACCGACTTTTGACGATAGTGATGATGCCGGAATGCGAGGATACCAAGATACGTTAAGATACGTTGTGTGGGACTTTCAGACCTGTGGGGCCCGCAGGAAGTTGGACCTGCGGCCCTGCAGGGAGGGGGCTTCGGCTTGAGACTTCCTCGCTGTGCACTCACAGACGAGACCCCCGCTCGAGACATCCTCACGAGTTGCGCCCTCGGGGTGCTCCAGTGGGCCAATGACCCCCTCGAATTGCTAACACAATCTGCAGGCATATGGGAGAGGGCTCCCGCCTGAGATTTCCTCGCAATTCACTGGCAGACGAGGTCCCCGCTCAAGACTTCCTCACGAATTGCCACCCCTTGGGGTGCCCAAATGCAGAAAGCCAATGACCCGCTCGGAATACTAACACCATCTGCGAGCCACATAGGGAGGGGGCTCCCACCTGAGACTTGCAACTCACTCACAGACGAGGACCCCGCTCAAGACATCCTCACGGACCCCATACCCCATAGGGAGAGGCATTCTTCTCGAGACGCCCTCGCAATTCATTCACAGACGAGGCCTCAACTCGAGACATCCTCAAGACTTGCGCACTCGGGGTGCTCAAGCGCTATACCTGCTACAATAAGCCAATGGCCCGCTCGGAAAACTAACATGATCTGCGGGCCCCACAGGGAGAGGCCTCGTGCTCGAGACTTCCTCGCAACTCACTCACAGACGAGGCCACCGCTCAAGACATCCTCACGTTTTGCCCCCATTGGGATGCTCAAGTGCCATGCCTGCACTACGCCGATGGTTCAAGGTAGCCCCACGACGGTCCCACATGACTTCGAGACAGCCCACGTGGCCATCACGACAGCCCAATCGTGCTCCCAGAGGACCGCCGAGAGAGCCCCAAGAGGGCAAACTCATCTTCCCATGCCGTTCGAACGCATGCAGAGTAAGACAACTTGCATGCTTCGTCATCGCAGCGTCCAAGACGGCCCAAGGGCCCCCACGATCGTCCCAAAAACGGCCCATGATGCCCACAAGAGGGCTCCACGACGGCCTAACAAGACCCCACCACTGCCGCAGGGGCCCTCAAGGCGGCTCAAGGGATCCTCACTAGGGCTTGACGAGAGGCCCGAGAGGAATACCACATGGCATACCGAGCCTCCCCCCGCGATGAGCCCAAGAGCCCATCAGAGGCCCCCGAAGCGCCCCCAAGATGCCTCCAAGAGGGCCCCCAAGGCGTCGCCAGATGCCACACCAAGCTTTCATTCAGCCGCTGGTTCCTCCTCCTCCTCACGTTCAGTGTCGTGTTCCACGTCCCTCTCAAATATCGATCATCGTCTTTATTCTGCGCGTCTTCCTCATCATACTTGACTCCCATCCCCGTTTCTATTCCCTCTTCTCATCCTTCTCCTCTGCTGACTCGCATTCCCCTCTCCCATGTCGACGGCCCAAGACCTTCGGAGACGGCCCGACATCGCCCCGAAGCCCCCACATCATTCCAAACGGCAATCGGCCTCCTCCTCCTCCTCCTCCTCCTCCTCCGCCTCCGTCCTCTTCCTCCTTCCTCTTCCTCATTCCTCTTCCTCCTCCCTCCTCCGTCCTGCTCCTCCTCCTCCTTCCTCCTCCTCCCTCCTCCCTCCTCCTCCTCCTCCTCCTCCTCCTCCTCCTCCTCCTCCTCCTCCTCCTCCTCCTCCTCCTCCTCCTCCTCCTCCTCCTTCTCGTCCTCATCCTTCTCCTCCTCGGTCTCCTCCTCCTCCTCCGCCCTCCTCCTCCTCCTCCTCCTCCTCCTCCTTCTCCTCCTCCTCCGACCTCCCCCTCCTCCACCTCTTCCACCTCCTCCTCCTCCTCCCTCCTCGTCCTGATCCTCCTCCTCCTCCTCATCATCATCCTGCGCCTCATCATCATCATCATCATCATCATCATCATCATCATCATCATCATCATCATCATCATCATCATCATCATCATCATCATCATCAGCATCAGCATCAGCATCAGCATCAGCATCATCATCATCATCATCATCATCATCATCATCATCATCATCATCAGCATCAGCATCTGCATCAGCATCAGCATCAGCATCAGCATCATCATCATCATCATCATCATCAGCATCAGCATCAGCATCACCATCATCATCATCATCATCATCATCATCATCATCATCATCATCATCATCAGCAGCAGCATCATCCCTCCTTCGCCTCTTCCTCCGCCTCCTCCTCCTCCTCCTCCTCCTCCTCCCCCTCCTCCTCCTCCTCCTCCTCATCCTCCTCCCCGTACTCGGCCGACACCTCATCTTCGCACACGTCTCGGGCCAGGATGTAAGCATTTGTTATGTCCGACGAGGCCTTGCGAACACCACCACACATCCGTCGACGTCGCGGAGACGAAGTGCCAAGGCGTGCAAACAGTGTAACCAGATTCCCACCTCTCCCCTCCCCCAGCGTCCCAATTGAAGAGCAAGCAAAGAGAACCCGAAGACGCCCTACAAGATATCCGAGGCGACTCAAGTAGCCGCCAAGATAGCCATGGAGCGTCTCAACCCCAAAGACAACAATGAACAAAATGATTTGACAATGTTTGGAGCCATCCCACTCACAATGGCGCCCACAAACCCCGAGCATCCCCTCAGTTTCCCCAGAACGCACCGAAGAAACTCCCAGATAACTCCAAACCGCCACCAAGAGACACTGTACCATAACCCAATCCTCTTCCCCAATGCCTCGACGCTGT